AAAAAATTAATTAGAACAAAAGTTATTCTAAAAGTCAGTATATCTGTTACACCCTGTATATATTATCAATTATCATTAACTGATATGTACTATGTATAATTTAGATTAGGGACTATGTGTGTAGTACGAAAATTTGGATATTTTAGGGACTGTAATAAAATCTCTAAAATATTAATTGATAAAGCTACTCAAATGAATTACATGATGTTTTAAATTTTCATAAATGAACGATATTCTGTTTGACCTCATAATGTTTTTATATTTRCTAAAACTCCGTTCGACATCACATGACGTAATTTTTGCATATTTAAATTGTGTAAATTCCCCAGGAGTTAGATTAGGAAAATCTTCATCTACATCGTCGCCATTTAAAATATTACGTATCGTAGACATAGCTTTTAGCCCGGTATTTTTTTCTAACACATTTTTATATTTTTCGTCGATTTTTCAGAGATCGGTCCTTTGTTTTGGCCAAGTTTAGATTTGGTGTTTTCAACAATTTCCAAATTATAATGAAATATACTATAAAACATGAACTTTTTGTGTTTTTGTAGTCTAATAGTCGAAATGTATAAAAAATTAAAAAAATTAATAAATCATTTTTACCAAACAATTTAATTAAATTTAAAAATAAAATACATATAGCCCTTGTCTACGTGAGTCTATTAAAAAAAAAAAAACAGATTTAAGATATATTTATTATTTCAGGAGATATCTTAATGAGTAAATCATCATGGGAAACCTGTATAAAAATTGATAATTGATTTTTAAAGGAAACAGGTATGAACTTGTGCCATGAATAAGTAATTAAAAATAAATGTRATATTTTGTAAAAAAGATATAATTGGAAAGTATGTGCGGGTAGGTATATTAAATAAATTATACCAGTTGTCCATATACTTATATAAGCTTATGGTAGCTTTTTGTTACAATCAATTTCTTAAAATATACCACTGCCACACTGGCAAACTTAAAAGGTTGATCATAGGTTAAATATAGTATACACTATAATAGAATATAAGTATTTTTTTTTATTATTTAAGAAATTTGGCGAGAACCATTAGTTTTGACAATTACAATAAACATGTAATATATAATATCTACTAAATTAAAATAAAAACATTTTTTTTTTTTTAAATTTAAATTATGAAACCCGCCTGGATGAATAAATTAAGTGTGGACAAAATTACAGATTGAGAATTTCAGGAAAGGATAGATTGAGGATTGGCTGGAATATTTAGAGAATTGATTAAGGAGAAAAAGCTTTGCGTTGGGAGAAGATATATGGACAGTTAAAAAGAATGTGAATGACAAAGCAAGTGTCAGGTGCAGAGGGGGGAATCGTTTAGGCCGAGCTTAAAAGAGTGCGAAGGTAGTAAGGTGTGTCCAAAGAGGAGACAGAAAGAGGAAATATTCTTGGGAGATATTTTAGATTTATCAAACCAAGGGAGAGGAGAAATGGATGGTACAATGTCTTTGTAGTCAAAATGAGTGGGAAAACCTCCCCAGTATCTGAGCCATAATTTATCGACACTATTTTTTAGCAATGGGMAAATGTCAGACTAGGATATTGTGCTGGTTGGGGGACAGCATAAGGAGGCTGTCGATCTAACCAGTGAGTCTACAGTCTCGTTACCGGAGATCCMCGTATAGCCAGGGGATAYATTTAATCTTTAGTTTAATCACCAATTCTCTTTCTTTGAAAACCAGCAGTAGTTTAGTCGATGATGATGATGATAATACTTCAAACAAATTACATTACAACACCAAGTATACATTAGGTTAGAACTATTATAGTAGAATAGTAACTCACTAACTCTTTTAAGAGACTCGACACCAAGTGCTCTATAATAAAAAATATTATTAGAGCAGATAAATAAACAAAGACAGTTTTATTTTTGTTGTTTGATGTATCCATGTTATTAATTATTATAAAAACAAATACAATTATATATTCACTTACCTAAAATTGAGTTTTTAGAAAAAAAAAAAAATCGTATACAAAAGAATATAGTAGGTACATTAATAATTTACTATGGTATTTGTGTTAGAATATATTGCACAGGTCATAATTAGACAAATTCAATTTTGGGATCTTCTAAACATAACACGGAATGATGTTTCTTATAAAAACGTTTATTTAATTTATTTTTTTAATCACGATATACTAGCCAATTTTGGAGAACCTCATTCCACGTTACTGAAAACAAAAAAACAATAAGTTCTTAATGTCACTAAATTGAAACATTTATATGTATGATGCGCCTTTAAAGTATAATATTCCCTTAAATAATGTTAGTAATTTTTAACTCTAAAGCATTATAATATTTAAAAGTATAAATAATAAGTACAAAATATACCATAAATTTGATGCGAAAAGCTATATTGCAATATTATCATCTGAAAGAAATATATTTATCTAAAGGGTACTAATAAAAGAAAATAATATTTTTTTTTTTAAATATTAGCATAATATATTTATAATACGGAAAAATGTATTATTCTAAGCAGGGTTTAAGGTTAGCATAGTTTTTAAATTCACATTGCAAAATGGTTCACCAAAAATTATTCTTACTCAATAACCAAGAGATCAGAAGTTCWTAAAAGCTGATATTCAATACATATCATATACCTGTAAAATTACTTAAGGCAAATAATAAATTAATCATAAGTAATTAATTAATCAATCTGTAGACCCAATATTATAATATGTATTTATGTCCAGACATATATTATATAGACTATAATAGCCTATGTACTTATAGAAGAATTTAAAATAAGCACAACAAAGTTAATAATAAAAGCGTTAGGTTATAATGTYGCATACAATACATTTATGTATAATTAGATCTTAGAAACCAAAGCAAATCCTGAAATGAATATAGGCCAAAAGCAAATATATGATTAGTTTTAATGATAATATAAGCACATTACAATTGTATGCCAAGTGTAATTGAATACATTTTATATAAATCATGACTAGGTAATGAAAACGAAAGTATAAAGATTAAATAAATATTAGCAGAAAATAAAAGATTTTAAGCAAATTGTAATTAATGTTTAAAAATACTAGTTAAAAATAAATAATATATAATGGAAATTTATATTCATGAAATGTATTCATAATTTATAATGAATTTGGGCTTAGTATACTTTTTAAGCATTTTTAACTGCAATAAAACCAGAAAATGTAGTAAAATTAAAATCTTTCCTGTTGAAGACACAACATAAACAGAACTTAWTAACATAATGTTATAACCAATAAATAATCATGGAATACATTTGTTTGTAACTAATAGCTTTTAAAGTTTAGTCTAATTATCTCTTTGAATATTAAAACCTAGTGCCCGTGTTTTTTGATAACATATAAACTATTTAGATGTAAAACAAAAATCTTCTTGTTCAGGTACATACACAATGCGTAAAGTGTTGGTATATCCAGAACCTTTCTTCCAACCAGTAACGACAACCACTGGATCTCCAGTTTTAATGAATCCACGGGCCTTACCAAACTTAATGGAGTGCACTACACGGGTGTCCACATCTTTCAACCAATCACTTAATGGTTGTTCTGAAATAATTCAATATTGTAGACAATACATATTATGTATCAATTTAAATTATTGAAATCAACATGTAAGCAATAATTATAGATCTATGTATTTACCATTATAGAACAAAGGTAGGATACCACGATAAATGTGACATTGACGGGCAACTTGGGCATTCCTGGTCAGTGCTATGATAGGACTACGTGGACGATATTTGGAAATGAGATGTGCAGAATGGCCGGATGTTGTAAGAACAACAATGGCAGCAGCTTTGCTTTTATTAGCTGCATCTACGGCAGCAATAGCAGTTGTGTGTGAAGCATCCAAAGGCAAATTAACCTTAAACAATTTGAAAATGTATAATTAGAAAATGAACATTTTTATTATTATCCTTTTAAGAACTCACAGCAGAAGATAAATCAGCAAACAATTGTCTCTGCCAAACGGCTGTCTCAGCTTCCTTACAGATGGTAGCCATAGTACGTACACACTCCAATGGGTATTCGCCTTTAGCTGTTTCTCCAGATAACATGACACAATCAGCTCCATCGAGAATGGCATTTGCCACATCAGATGATTCTGCTCTGGTAGCGCGAGGTTTCTTAATCATAGACTCCAACATTTGAGTTGCACAAATAGCTGGTTTGCCAGCCTATATATATTTCAAGAATAGATATGTGAATAAAGTGTTAGWATTATACCCAATACAACTCAATAAAAATTAAAAATATTAATTTTTAGTATTGACAGGAAAATAAGACAATCCAAAATTTATAGTTCAGTATAATATTTTAAGMAGTTTTTAAGAAGGTTGCCAAAATTACATGAAAAATATTATTGTTTAATATTTATTTAAAAACTGACATATAATTAAATACAATGTAAGTTGCAATACATTGTACCTATTAATGCAACACAAATTGTAACAATTATTTAATAGATTATAAAATTAACATTAAAAAAATAAAATTACATCAATTATTTATGTATTATTATTTAATTATAATTAATAATTATTAATTAATTAAATCATTGAAATTAAAAAATTTATAAGCATCATAATTTTTTTATGTGGGATACCAGAACATAACAAAATCCAGTAACAGTCTCAGTTGTTGAATGACACCTTTATACAGAGTGTATCACAAAGGTTTACCCATTGTGATATCTCCTGAGATTAAATATATCATAAATCTGTGTTTTTTATTAGACTCACATAAACAAAGGCTACATGTATTTTATTTTTTAGTTAAGTTAAATTTTTTGGTAAAAAGTTAAAAATATTAATTASTTTTTTAATTTTTGAAAAAAATAAAGATACATATTTAATAAAGTTTATTTTGATGACAATTGTGAATTTTTAACATTTTATTTTCATTAATCTCATGATTTTTAATAAGATAAAACGTTGAAAAACTGATTTTTAACCGGGCGGCGAGTCCCCCTCTACGACTAATGGGTATATCCTCATGGGACACTCTGTATAGTTTATATAAATTATACGTCAGTTTTTTTTTTTTTGTTAATTACCTTGTTACAACGGGCAATCATAGCTTTTTGTGCCAAAAACACCTTTTCTGGTGGAATTTCAATACCCAAATCACCACGAGCCACCATAATACCATCAGACGCTTCAATGATTTCTTGCAAATTTTTCATGCCTTGGTGGTTTTCAATTTTTGAAATAATCAATATATTTTTACCTTTTTCTCCTTTAAAATTAAAATTAAATAAGTTACATTGATTTAATTGTTATACATATTAATCAGGGTAATCACTGTCATTATTTACCTAAGATTTCTCTAATTTCTTTAATAGCAGCAGCTTCTCTAATGAATGATG